GTTTTTCCCCCCAAGCCTGGGTTGCCATGCATCTTGGTAAAATGATTGCACACTTATCATTGTTATGGGCAATATTCCTTACACAGATGACCTGTTGCAAGTGTGACTCTGAGTTTCAATGTTTCAGTTGGGTCAAGCTTGTACTGTTGCATCATAAATTTTGATGGAAGATTCACAGAATTTATCACACATGATAATTTCCTCCAAACTCTCTGGAGCCCCCAAGTATGGATGCTTTACATATCTCCAAACCTGGAGATAAAACATTTGCATGTAAAGAAATATTGGTTATTCATTCAGATGTACATCGGGCAACAAAATATTCATCCATTCCTGATTTTCAGCTGACTGTGCGTCAGGAAGATGGATCTAGATTAAACACACTATTATTTTCACCCCGAAAAATCAATATCCCTTGCTTTCTAGTCTGTAAAATTTAATTCAGCCTTATTACATTGCTTCAGAAATTTAATATTCCTAAACTCAGTTGAGCACAAAATTCTGTTCAAATCATTATCTGTTCTTAGGTTGCAACATGGATCATACAAAAGTAAAATCTTTTCATTGTAAACTTTTTAAATCTTGTGACTAGATACTGGGAGAATAAATATTTTAATATTCCTGATTGACCAGACACACTCCAGCCATCTTGGTGGTTTCAGACACATTTTTAGTTATATTTCAATGCATCCGTGACTTTCCATCTCATATAATCGATGAAAAAGTCCTTTTCCCCTTTAGTGGAAGTGCGTGAGTGATTTGCCCACTGAAAGTCCCTTGGTACTAGTAATATGACCATTTACTTGCAAAATTGCAACTGGGGCTTCATGAAGCACTAAAGAACTCGGTAATCCCCAAACTCCCCTGTTGCATGCAATTACGTTTCCAATGAATATTATCCATATTCAAGCAGAGCTTTACACCCTCAAGTGCGTGTTTTAATTCGAACAGCGGCTGTGCATGATCACAGTCAGCCAACACAACGGGTTGGGATCTCCATAATACCTACCCGCATCAGTCAGGAATGTAACAGATCCCTATTGTTCCTCCATGTTGACATAATGCTTTACAATTTCTATTACTGTAATGAAATTTAGCAGTGGATGCCAATTGTGTTGCCTGGTAACAACTAGGATGACCTTGCCATCTTGTTTCCGTGATGAAACCAGCCAATCGGATCATGCCGTCCTGACATGGTCCATGGGGTGATACAGTTGCGAGGATTCAGGATAAATCACTCTCGAGGTACACAGAGACAGCCAGCATCTTACAGAACACCACAATCAGGTCAAACATATCCTGTTGAGTTTCAGGTCAAACATATACTGATCGGAAAGGAAAACATTTTTTCACTGTATCAGCCGGTTTCAACGAAAAAATGTCTCTTTAGAACAGCATCTCTGCACCATCTCTGAGCAACACAATGCAACGTCTTGTATCTAACATAAACAAGACAGAAAATCAGTTTTCTTATTACCCTTAGTCATTTCAAAAAATTTGGTTCATTTTGACAAAAATAATTGTATCAACAGTTGTTGAGAAACAATTTAAATATATTTATTGTAGGTAAAACATTACCACAATTGTGGTAAATTCTCATATAATATATTCTCATATTATAATGCCTTGTCTTGAACCGACATTGCCTGAATGTATCTCCTTTCTATCAGGAATGTACCAGCGTATTTTGTACTTTTAGTGCGTATATTAACTTGTAGAATACCAGAAGCCACTGTTTCATGGAAACATTATGCAATAAATATCTTATCTCACTGTCTGGCCTGTCTGAATATGATATAATCTGGAAGAAACATGAGCATTTAGAAACTAAAACTAATATACAGCCTCGGTATCAACAATTTGATTAAAACATGAAATATCTACACTTGTCATCTGATATGTCTCTCTCTCAACAAACAAGACAGTAATCAGGAAGAGATGTGAAATTTATGACTCAAATACATATCTAAACATTACTGAAATTGGATTATATAAAACTAAATCATTATCACATTATTTTTTACAATTTTTGTTCATATCATTCAGGATGTAAACATTTTCTTATATGCATAAACAGATGCATGTCCTTTACACAATATTTGCTCCTCATTTCATGTACACTTTGAAATGAAGAAGGATCAGAATCATCTTGTTATCTTTCACCTGTTCTCGTTGATGAATGGGTGTGCAAGTCGAGATTCTCAGCTTCTGAATCCTTCCCGCTACCACTATTACAGTTTGGATCCAATACATTATTCAAGGGGTATCTCAGGCAAAAAACCCATCAGTCAACCTTTTATTTACCAGAAGAACCCCAGAGGTGATCATCCAGGTTACCTGCTTTATCAACAGTTCAACTACAGCCAGCCCCGCTCTCTCAAACACACCCTGAAAGTACTGTTGATATGTAGAAGTCGGTCAGTCTAGTAGAGGATGACTCTTGCTTCATCCATTATCAAATGTGAGAAGAGAAAATCTTGTCATCCACAAATTCTGTTTCGGTGCCTTAAATATTTATGGTAAAACAGCAAAAAGATTCCCACAACACAACTTCGATCTTCTTTCTCATAAAGCTCTCTGAGACACTTAGGAATAATGGGAACCTGGAGATGCAGTCACATTACAATCTACTAACTGTCTGGCACCGTATCACTTGGGCTGCTGCTGCTGCACCAAATGACATCCTTGTGTTGTGTGTGATACAGGGATACTTTTTTGCATCATGGTGGATTTTATCTCTTCATAACATTTCAATAAAGCATTTCTTCAAAGAAATGCATAATCTTTTGAAGATGGTAATAAAATTCTCTCCTTGCCCATAGGAATATAATTCTCCAAAACAAAAGGCTGTAATTTTTCATCACTTGAACCAATGTTGGCTTGGCAGCAAAGGCCTTCTAGTGATTTCCAATCCTGTGAATTCATTAGGCAGAAAGTGTACTAAGACAGGAGCGTCTGCTAACCTCACCATGTAGTTCGTGCCTGATACAATTCAATACCAATCTCAGTCCAATCAGACTCTGTTTAAACATACCCATATCAGCCCATTCCCCAAAATCAAATTGTAAAATTGACAAACGGTTGTCTATCAGTCGAAAGATCATCTTGGGAGCACTTTCATTACACAAGTGTGTGGATTGTGTACTCTATGTCTCCATCTTGTACCAACATCAGGGTCAGAACTTCTTGTTGTCATCTGTTGGTTTTGCCACAAATCTCCCGGACTTGGGTTCCTGCTTGTTGTCCTAACTCTGTGGCAACACGCTTCCACGGAGGAAACCGTGTGCCAAAGTCATCACAGGTATTTCAATGACGGAATGATTACTTTCAGTAAACTCAAGAATGTCCCTTCCAGACAATACCGCCTCCAATATGTCTGTAGCTGTCCTGGTTTAGGAATACTATGTTCTGTATTTCTCGAATTACCTTCTCCATGTTTTTGTTTAGGAAAACATGCGCAATCTTCAAATATGAAAAACATCTGCAAATCCTTTCAACAAACACATCATAGGTAAATGATTACAGAAATATGATTACTTTAGCGTAAGACAAATATGTACAGTGAAACCAACCGGGACACGTTGGAGGCCCAGCATGCCCTAGGTACATACAACCTCTCAAGGCTCCATATCGTATACTGCTTGCATAAAATTTACAGCATCAAGATTTAGGCGAAATGAAGGCAAAAATCAACAAAATTCCAGATACATCACGGAAGTGAAACAGGTACTATGCAATGGAGAGTTAGAAAAATATATTCTTGAACACCTGGTGTCATCACTCATTTTCAGTGATCAGTTTATATTGTTGCCTTTCGCCCCCAAAGGAGTCAGTTTCTTCAGTGAGTGAGTGGAGTTTTATGACACTTTTAGCAATCTTCCAGCACTATCACAGCGAGGGACACCAGAAATGGGCTTCACATGTTGTACCCATGTGAGGAATCAAACCCGGGTCTACGGCTTGATGAGCCACTAGCCACATGATGTAACCACTAGCCTACCCTATCACCTCTCAGTTGTTTCAGTTGACCAAAACAGTTGTGCTCTGGCAATTGCTTCATAACACATCACTGTTTACTCCTACTTCTGTGATAAGGGGTGGTCTGAAATGGTGGAAGCAGTTAGGAAATGCAGTGAGCACTTTCGCCAGAATTCCGGATCCACCTGTGGGTTAGTCTTCCCAGGTGCTCCCTGGCCATCAGCTGTCCATACTGTTGCCATTGTGGACATCCAAACATTAGTCCTTACTGACCAGGGTGGACACAAGGAATCATAGCTAACCAGTCCACAGATGTATTTCAGATTAGTGCAAAGATCACAACTGTAAATTTTAGAATGAGATGGGATAAATGGGATTAAAAGTTATCAGTATGTGATAAGCCACTGATCTCGTACTAAAACATGTGATAATCAACTGATTATTGATTTCTTGCATTGATGACGGTTCCAGCAGCAAGGTCCCTGACTAGTCTAAATAACTGGTGAAGTTCTTGAAACCATTTTTACAATAGATGACTATTTTGTGCACAATATCAAAGTTCATGGCAAAATCATAACTGTTGGCATCCTTGCAAATAATCTTGTAACAAGGGCAGTGTTGTAGAGCAGTGGTTAAAGTGATTGCTTCTCATGGAAGAGACCCAGGCTCAATTCCCCACATGGGTACCACGTCTGAAGCCCATATCTGGTGTACCCTGTAATGATGCTGCTGTTCAAGTGGGATAAAATCTTATTCACTTACTCAGTCATAAAGTAACATAAGTTTGGATTAAATATGCCCAAGGTTTCACAGGTTTACTCCAGTTTCAGGCTAGTGGCTGTCTATATCTGTCTTATCAATAAACTACATGAGAGTCAGCATTAAATGCCCCAGGTGATTTCAATTCAAAAGCATCAGAGATAATAAGACATAATCACCAAAATACAAACAAATGATCCCATTTATGTCTTTTCGCAAGAGGCATAATGAAACATGTGATGACGAAATAGCCAGGCACTTACCAGATACCACATGATGCCCCATTTGGGATCATTAAACGACTGTCTCTTGACACGCAGCTTGGCCTTCTGCTGTTCAATCCATCTTACCTGCAAACAGAAACAGGATGGTTTACAACAAGGATATCAGAATAAAATGAAAATACATAAATCTTGAACCACAAAGACTGTGTCATGAGGAGCCTTTCTGCTTGACAAGGATACAAGAATCTGTATCGAAACAGCATTTCTGCTTGACAAGGATACAAGAATCTGTATCGAAACAGCACTTCTGCTTGAAACAGCATTTCTGCTTGACAAGGATACAAGAATCTGTATCGAAACAGCATTTCTGCTTGACAAGGATACAAGAATCTGTATCGAAACAGCATTTCAGCTTGACAAGGATACCAGAATCTGTATCGAAACAGCATTTCAGCTTGACAAGGATACCAGAATCTGTATCGAAACAGCATTTCAGCTTGACAAGGATACCAGAATCTGTATCGAAACAGCATTTCAGCTTGACAAGGATATCTGTATCCAGAAGGATCTGTATCAAAACAGCATTTCTGCTTGACAAGGAAACAGCATTTCTGCTTCGAAACAGCATTTCTGCTTGACAAGGATACAAGAATATGTATCGAAACAGCATTTCTGCTTGACAAGGATACAAGAATATGTATCGAAACAGCATTTCTGCTTGACAAGGATACAAGAATATGTATCGAAACAGCATTTCTGCTTGACAAGGATACAAGAATATGTATCGAAACAGCATTTCTGCTTGACAAGGATACAAGAATCTGTATCGAAACAGCATTTCTGCTTGACAAGGATACAAGAATCTGTATCGAAACAGCATTTCAGCTTGACAAGGATACCAGAATCTGTATCGAAACATCATTTCTGCTTGACAAGGATACAAGTATCTGTATCAACACATTGTACTCATGAAATAAAAGAAGTTGTTATCCATAAAGTTTGTCAACATTGCATTGGGTACATCTGTATCTGTGACAGACTATACTGAATGCTGCTTTTCACAGTACTGCAGATACATCAGCCAAGTGCCATGTTAATGTAGTACTGCAGATACATCAGCCAAGTGCCATGTTAATGTAGTACTGCAGATACATCAGCCAAGTGCCATGTTAATGTGGATGGAAAGACTCAAGTCATTCAGTGCTATCACTAATGGTAATGATTCTACAAACCAAGAATCAAAACTGGGATGGACTTGATCAAAGGATTCTGGCATACTTACAACATGTATCTTTGAATAGCAAATTGTGGTGTGTGTCTGGTTTTATAGAAAAATAGCTTGCACATGAACTTCCTTAATTATCGGTAAAAGCATGGCCATAAACTACCATTGTTCTACTACCCTTTCTTTTCCAGAAATACGAAATTCTAGAGTTTAACAAGCCCTTAAACTTATATTAAATCTCCATTTATTTAGTGGCAAATGCACAAGCAACCTCCTGATCAATAGATCACGGCCTTACTTCCTCTACAGTGCTGGCACCAAGCGGGTGATGTACAGGCACTCTGTACTCACAGTCCCAAGGCTAAATACCAGATCAATTACCACCAATGTACCAGCCATTTTGAACATTTTAGGTCACTTTTAACCTGGGTGGAATGGCCCACTAACTCATCTGTTGCACAGTTGGTGATGTCAATCTGCGCACAAACCTTCACAATAAAAGACTTTTCTCCCATCACTATCAAAAATCAAATTCATGATTTGGGTGATAGGTTTCAAAGACTTTGTCTGTACCTCTGCAGGAGAGTTCTACTATTGATCAGTGGAAGAGCGCCAAAAAGCGCCACCTTTCTGGCCCCATGGCTGTATATTTTACACTGATAAAGATGCTTGCCCAGTGCATAACTTGAAGTAAGCCACATATCCCTTCAACAGCTCTTCTTTCCATACAGCCAAATTGATTTGCATTGCTCAATCTTACATAGAATTTGTTTCCTTTCAGGACAGACTGACACTTTCTTACACTTCGGTCACTGCAACTCTGGTTGTATAATGCCCTGAAAATCCTACAGCTTCCCTTACCATAACTACATAGAACCTTGTTTAATTATTGCAGTTGACTGAGCCCATGTATGTATTCATTTAGTGGGGACGATTCCAACATCATGTTAACGTTTATGCTGTAGGATAGCTGTTCTCCCTAGGGGTTTCTGGTCAGTGTTGGTTCCCATCATCCATGATGGCCACAAAGCCAGCACCAGGGGCAGATGGATAAAAGGGGTCTCATGGTTACAGGTAGACTAACGCTTAGTCTCTGAATATACATAATTTTGAAAGTAACAAATAATTCCATTTAATTTGAAAAGGAGCCCCAGTGAGAAGGGAGATTCCCGAAACTGAGGAAATCTGGACATGATTTATTCACAGCTTTAGTATTGCAGAAAGGGCTTGGCGGAAGGGGAAATAATACAGTTCAGACTTTGAGACAGACAAAATTGCAGGGTAACAATGTGTTGGTGTGGATTGTTGCTCCTGCTATCACCCACTGGTTTATCTGACTGAGATTCAGCCACAGGCAGGTCACTAAGATCCAACTATATTATGAAGCTACAATTTCACTGACAGAAGTAAAAGTTTAATGCTGAGGGTTCATCAAAGTGATATATCTTAGAAGAAGCAATATATCTTAGGATATATCATTTTATCTCAGCCAAGCAATGTCTCCTGTTGAAGGCTGTGTTACGGATACTAAAACAATTAGTCATGAGACAGTACCAAAAACATAGTAACATACCATATGCCATTTGTATCACCCACCACCTTATATAATAGTTATATACTGAGTTGAACATCCACCACCAACAACTGCACTACAAGCTTGGCTTTTGTGCTGCTTTCCTAAGGGTAATGTAATCTTCCAACACAGAAACTTAATTCTGAATGAGATGATGAACTGACTTTAGAAATCAATGAACAAATGTAAGATAGTAACCCCTGTGTCAGAAATACACAGGTCAAACCTAACCATTACATGCTGAGGTCAAGTCTCATCAACATATACCATCACCTGACTGCACAAATGTACTAAACATTTATTCACAATATCAAAATCTTCATCTTGGAAACATCTTTAACAGTCTGAAATTCAAACAAGCTAAAATTACAAAGGTTTCTCGTTGTGTACTTCTCCAGAAGAAAGATCAAGTGTAGTTCTAATAACTGCCACTAGGGGGTGCTGGAGGCTGGGTTAATTGGGTCGTCTGTTCCTGTCTTCAAGTGGACCCAGCAAGAGGCTATCAGCTAGAAAAGGCCTGAACAAATATTTCTCGACTTCTGTAGCTCAGATCAGTAGAAGAAATCTTCTCGCCATAAGTCAAGATAGAATCAATTAAAACATTACATGAAGCCCTCAATACATGAACCAAAATAGAAGGCCAGAATCCTTGCAGTTCTTCGGTCAACAGAGATCCTATTTGAAATATCAGAAAAATTCTATCTTTAAATATAGTTGTTGTCTTATGGCAGACAACCACTGCAAAATCAATTGGAAATTATGTAAGAGGCGGGACACATGGGACTGCTGTTGGAGAGGGAGAATAATGAGGGGAAATGGTATTGAAGTTGTGGCCACCAAATGTACAACCTACACTGGATGCTAATGGCATACACCATAACCCTAGTGTATATTGGAAAACATATAGCATAAATAATTGCGTATTGATAGAGTGCAAGCACAGCAAAGAATGGGTCGGAAATCAATAGGGAACCACAGAAAAATGAGTGCATACATATTACACTGTGGTGTAGCCTTGACATAATTAGAGGCGACATGAGGAACAGCAGTATGCATCAGGAGGTACTGAAGCTCACCTAGCATAGTTTAGTTTACAATCAGCTACATGTCTCCCATCTGAACAGTACTTCTTCCAGAACTATATAACCCATTGTGTCAGTTTAACTTTTGAAACACCTTGCCTTTTACATAATGCGTCTAAACTTTCAATGGGTTTGGCACTTGATTCAACCTGTGAATTCAACACATTTAGAGTGACGCCTGTACTTTAAATCATAGTTTAACACAACTCCTGTGAACCAGGAATACCAACATAGTGAGCATGCTAGATAGTTATCTGTAACAGAAGAATAAAACTATTTTTGCAGAAGAACATAAGAACCCAGGGACATGAGTGAACTGGGCGACATGGATGGGCCAGGAAAGTGATGGTATTGTGTGTGCAGGCCCCTGTTCTCTCCAGTGTTGCTGGAACTGGATGATCCATGCTTTGATTTCCAGGTATGTCAGCATCCTTCCCATGCTCAGGGGATTCATCAAACATCTTCATCTCCACTTTTTACTTTTGGGCTTTCCTCCCATATCAACCTTTATTGCTTAATCAATTTGAGCCAGATATATGATGACAGCTATATCTCCAGTCACTTGTGGATTGATGACAAAAACAGAAAAACAAGCCAACTTGGGCAGTTCATTTTCAAAAAACGATAATTCACTGAAAGCCCCATTAAAGCTCTTTTTGGAGAAGCACCTTTTATCACCATCTTAAACCTCCATCTGACATTAAGGCATGGAGCTTAAGTATTGAGACGACTCATGTCTGCAGGTGGCCCATGTGATCCGTACAACAGAGAACTTCCATACACAACATCAGCTTGTTGACAGTTAAAATCATTCATTTTCAAATGTACACAGAACAAAAGCAAACTAATTGCCCTGTTATTCCCACCGATGTGTTCTTGTTGAGATAATCTACAGGTAATTAGTATCTGTCTTTGTATCCATTCCACAACTCTCAAAGGAGCCAAACATTTACATCATCCATTATGACTAACGATTGCTAATAACCCTGGGTGACAGGGCATCAACAATATGGCTTCTGAGGCAAAGAACACCAAACAAGATCTGAGCAGTCAGCGACAAGCTTTACATAATGAAACTCAACTTGTCAGTGACAGATTAACATATTTTTTATTCCTTTCTGAACTGCAGGAATCTCACCCAAAGTACCTGCTGGTTCCACTTCATGTGCTCCGTTATAGGCAAGGGAAACCAGTACTGGCTTATGGTATGGAAAGTATGCAAATTTTTCATCCTCTTGCATAAATT